TTATATTGAGTTTTAGTCAGTGAATGGTTGAGTTATAGTGGGGGTTTTAGGTCAGTGTGGTTGAATTATAGTGGGTTTTATGTAGTGGTCGAGTTATAACGGGTTTTAGTGAGTGGTTTAGTCAGTGTGAATGAGTGGTTGAATTATATAGAGTTTTAGTCAGTGAATGGTTGAGTTATAGTGGGGGTTTTAGGTCAGTGTGGTTGAATTATAGTGGGTTTTATGTAGTGGTCGAGTTATAACGGGTTTTAGTGAGTGGTTTAGTCAGTGTGAATGAGTGGTTGAATTATATAGAGTTTTAGTCAGTGAATGGTTGAGTTATAGTGGGGGTTTTAGGTCAGTGTGGTTGAATTATAGTGGGTTTTATGTAGTGGTCGAGTTATAACGGGTTTTAGTGAGTGGTTTAGTCAGTGTGAATGAGTGGTTGAATTATATCGAGTTTTAGTCAGTGAATGGTTGAGTTACAGTGGGGGGTTTTATGTCAACGGTAGTAATATTATAGAATTAACAGCAATAGAAACAATAGAGAAAGCGGAAAACTTTGAAACAAAAGACTACAAGTGTGTTGTAACTATTTTTATTTCTAGTAAATATGAAAAGTCATCTGATCATTTTCTGTCAAGTGGTTCAATTGTTGAAGGAAAACATGTTATAATTTTAGCAAAAATCAGGTGGTCAAACTAATGGAAGGATACATCAAAAAGGCAATGTAGACAACTTTGTGAATTTTTAAGTATGATTAAATAATTGTTTGATATTGCATCTTAAAAAAATAAACATTTTATCGTCAAAAAAGTATTAGTTTGATAAAATTAGGAAAATTTGTATGCCCATGAAATACGAAATAGCGATTTCAGATGAATGATTGTTCGCTAGGTTTGCAGTTAAATCATGATTTTGATTTTATGATAAATCATATACCCTTAAATTTTTAATAAAACTCAAGTATACTCAAAGTTGTCAACAGTGCCTCTTCAAACTTTTATCCTTTGTGACCAGCCAAGTGAAGCGGAAGCCCAGATACACACACATTTAGGCAATGGGGTATTTTTACCTTTTTCTTCTCGGAGAGTAATTTATATCGCTGTGCAACAACCTGACTAATTTCAGCAACAGACATATGAGGATTTTCTTCTAATATTTTCTGTCGTTTCTCCAAGTAGAAGCGGAAATATGGTGTAAGTGGTTTCTTTGGCTTGTCTGGATACTTCTATAAATATTACGAGACGTTGTCACAAAACATGTCATGTTAAAAATTAATGTAAACTGCTAAAATTAAAAAATAATGTTTCCAATATGAAAATGTTACTGTTTTATACAGAGTTCATACACCTTTGAAGAAATAATATTCCATTCCCTTAATGATAAGATTCCGGGTTTTTTAGTTATGATTTACCGGTACAAGTAGGTTTTCACTTGAATCAATGCCAACCTTTTCCTTAGAATTAACGCTACCTCCTTGAAGATAGCCAATCTGAGCACAAGTTAGAAAACTAACACTGAGAATGACCTCTGAACTTTACATTTCATAATACAGTGATGTGTTGTGCTAGATATGTTAAGGAAGGAATGAATGAATGCAGTTAATGAGTGAATCCCTACAAATTTCTGATATTTGGCTGAGCAATAATAAATTCTATTAAATTAATGAACGAGTGTAAGTAAAATGAGGCTGAAAACCTGTTTCTATGACAAGTATTTCCCGACAATGCTCCACCCAACACTAGCGGCCATTTTGAAAATTCGTCAAAACACACAACTGAGGTTCAAAATTCAGTATTTTCTTTCAGAATTTCAAGTATCGAGTCACAGAAAATAATTTGGCAATATTTCAGGAAGTTATTTTAAAAATTATTAGTCTTTTTGCATCAATCCTTGAAGGAATTACCGAAGACAGCATTATTGTGACATTCTGCCTAATCAATGGAATTTTCAAATGACTATTTTTTTGAGACTCACGAATATTTACAGTATAAATCTCATTTACATTGCGAGATAATCAATGCAGTCACTACAAACAGAGCAAATCGCTTTCAGTCAGCATAAATTCAGGCAGTAATGTGCATATACACTAAATAAACTATACTATTTGCTGAAAACTAACTTAGTATTTTATTGCCCCTATTTCGTCATAAATTCCATGTACCAAATAAATAACAGTAAAAAAATTACCAGTTTCTATGCATAAAAAACAACCTGTGCTCTTATTCAGAGGGTTTCATATTCTTGCGTGTCTGAAATATGAAGCTTCCCCGCCCCCATGGCGAGAAAACGATTCGCAGGTTTCTGGTGCCCAGTGATATATTTATTTATTTTTGGCGTGGTTGAGTTAATTCATAAAGCACACAACCACTGGCTTGTATATACCATATCTGAATATTAGAGTATGTGCTTACGTAAATGACATATGGTCACATTTCTACTAGATTAATTTAGCTTACAAACTACAACAATTATTATAGCTTTTTTACCAGCAAGAATATCGGTGCGATACATATTTGAACTAGCTATTATAATGGGATGAACAACAGAGTAAAATGAACAAGATTTCTATGACATACTGTGACTAAAGTATCAC